ATGCCTGGTGGTGACGAAGAAAGGTGATCCGCACATTTTCCTTGATGGAAATGAGCAAGTAAGGACTCATTTCCTACATTTTAGCCCCGGGCGAAACAAGGGGTAAGGTCAGTTTCGGCAAAGGGTTAGTAAGATAGATGGGAGGAGGAAAGATGGCCGCGCGGAGCCATGGCGGACGAAGAAACGACGAAGGGAGAGAGTCGAGAATTTGCTCGATCTCTAATGGAATCGAGTGAGAGAAGATAGTAGTTTAGCTTCTTGAGGTCGGGCGAACCGGTTTGTGAAGTCAGATGTGGATAGAAGTTAGTAGATTTGGAGTTARAAGTGAAAGTGAATCTGAACTGAAAAGTGCGTTAGGTGCATGTAGGAGGAAGAAAAGTAATAAGAAGAAGAAGTTCGTATCTCGCTCGATCCTCGATGGATTCGAGCGAGGTAAGAGGCAAAGTGGGGGTTCTCAACAGGGCGACCTCGAATCCGGTGTTAGTTTTGACAACGGATTAGTAGATTGGGAGGTTAGTAGAGAGAGTTAGTGCGCCGGGGACATGGAGAACGAGTAGAAGGAGAGGAGCGAGAAAAGCGATTCCTCACTCATTTCTTGGTAAGATCGAGCGGGGCAAGCAGTTGAATAGGGGTTTTGCAGCGCTGCGAATCCGTCTAAGGAGTTAGATTCGAAGTTTAGATAGCGACTTTGCTGCGATAGCAGTGAGAAGCGGTGCCTAGGAGGATAAGTTTTGGTGCATCGATGTATCTTTCTGCGTTCTAGCGGAAGATTCATTGAACGCAGAAGATTCATTCGATTTTGCTCGTCCCACCGATGGACGTAGCGTGAAGCCAATGACGAAATTGGAAGTTTTTATCTGATTATAAGTGTGCCACGCTTTCTGTTGATCGGAGTAGTTACCCATTAATGTTCGCTGTGCAGAGCTGGAGAACGACAGGGGGGGGGAGGCTTGGCAACGTATTTGGTCCGGGGCTACGGCAGGCCTATTCGACCTTGCTCACCCTTTCGATGGGAGTAGCGGGAAGCAGGCTGCGCCGTTAGAAACTTACCTGTTTGTTTGGCCAGTGCTCACCTCACGGTTGGGGTAGGAGACTTGTCTGAACGACCGAGGGCGCTGCCCACTGCATTGACTAGAGTAGCCGAGAGTTAAACTGCGGGCTGCGGGCCTACCCATTGACGGGGACTGCTACTCTGCCGAACAGGCTGGCTACGGGCAGGGCAACGAAGGGGGGATTGCTGCTGTGCCTGTTGTATTCGCGGTTCGCCTAGAGTGTGTGTTATGATTACTATGTTGCAACCAGTGTGATTGCGCGGACCGCTGTATTCCTGCTATCTGTTGTGTCCCCGCTGTGTGACGCCACGACTGTTGCCGTCGGTAACCACCTAYTGGGGGGCAAGGGGGTTCGACGTGTCCGTTGGTTACTTATTGAACTGCTGCTGCGGGGGCACAGGACTTCTGCCTGCTAGGCCAGCTGAGGAAGGTGTTGTGACTTAGTATTGCGGACCGAAGGCTGCGGGGCGAGGTAAGCTGCTAATCAACTGCTATGGGCTGCCCCCAACCATTTGATTGCGGCTGCGCATACGGTTGCTGCTCGTATTCAACTGCACTGCTGCAACCGTAGCTGACCGTTGTGATCTGCTATAAGGCGGTGACTGGACTTGGGAAAGGAAGCTGCGACTGCAGCTCGGTGGAATAGTGGCGAAGGAGGTTGGTGCTGCGGTTTAAAAGGTCAGCAAAGGGTTGACCGTGACAGTTTGACCTTAGGGGATGGCCAAACTGTGACATTGGCTACCATTGCGGGGCCCTCAGGCGCATCAAGATTACAAGGCCCTCTCTAGTGAACTTGAGAGCACCTTTCTGGGATCTGAGAGTCTCACACTTTCCTCTTTCTATCTTTCTAAATCTAAGTCTAGTCTGCTGGTTACGAGAGGAAGGCGGCAGGCGGGATTGCAACCCGTAGGTCCGCATCAAGACTCTATGGGGAGTCCACCCACCGATTGCGGGAGCCCTGCCGGGACTTAGGCGAGGTTCTGGAGGCAGGGAACCTTCAGGTAAATCATCTTTATCTGTGTAAACCCCACTACTACCCATGTTTGCCTATCTCCCTGCAGTATGACTGTTGTATGCATGCGTTTGT